ACCACCAGGAGCTCCCGGGGAGGGGACAGTAGAGGGGAGGGACGTGGTGGAGCCAGGACAACACTGGACCCTGCCTGTGGGTGATCCAGGCCTGCGTGGGCACCGTCCAGGGCTGGCCCCTGGCTGCAGAGGGTGCCCAGAGGAGCTGGCCCCAGGAGACGCCATCCCCACGGCCTTGCATCCCCCTTGGACTGCTGCGTGGCCTGTGGCCACAGCCCCCAGCGTGGTCCTGCCACCAGTGGAGCCTCCCCGCTCACGGCGCCCAGCCCACCTCCAGTGCTGAGAGCTGGCTCTGCCGGTGCAGGGTTTGGCTGCGGTTTCCTCCCCGCCGCCGCCTCTGCCGGGAAGCCCACTCCTGAGCCCCTGGGTTCCTCCGTTTGCAGGATTCCCCCCCACCGCTTCCAGCCACCTTGCCGCAGTGGGCGCTGCCTCTCCTGCTCGGGCCTTGCCGAGTCTCTCCTGGGTGTGCGGAGTCGTGGCCCTCGGTCCCCGTGGGCTCCAGCTTCTCGGAGCTATTCTGTCCCCTGCCCTGCTCCTTCCCGCCCTCCAGGAAGTCCCCGTGTGCGTGTCCGTGTGCCGTGTTCCAGGTGGGGCCCCCGTGTGCATGTCTGTGTGCCATGTTCCAGGTGGGGTCCCCGTGTGCGTGTCCGTGTGCTGTGTTCCAGGTGGGGCCCCCGTGTGCGTGTCCGTGTGCCGTGTTCCAGGTGGGGTCCCCATCCCTGTGTCCGTGTGCCGTGTTCCAGGTGGGGCCCCCGTGTGCGTGTCCGTGTGCCGTGTTCCCGGTGGGGTCCCCATCCCTGTGTCCGTGTGCCGTGTTCCAGGTGGGGCCCCCGTGTGCGTGTCCGTGTGCCATGTTCCAGGTGGGGTCCCCATCCCTGTGTCCGTGTGCCGTGTTCCAGGTGGGGTCCCCGTGTGCATGTCCTTGTGCTGTGTTCCAGGTGGGGTCCCCGTGTGTATGTCCGTGTGCTGTGTTCCAGGTGGGGCCCCTGTGCGCGTGTCCGTGTGTGTGTGCTGTGTTCCTGTCGTGTCCCCGTGTGCGTGTGCTGTGCCTTGCACTCTGCCACGCGTTGCTCTTCCCCGCACCCCCTGCCCTCTGCTCGTGGTGAGCATGGTTTCTGCCCATGCACCTGCTCTTCTGCCGGTTCCCATGGGTCGCTCAGCTCCGCCGGGGTCTTGGTGACGTGGGCCAGGCAGCAACTGGCCAGTGCTCCGAGGACCTGCAGGCCATCGGCGGTCTCGCGGCCTCCATCCATGCCCTGCCGCACCTGCGCCTCTACTACGTGCGAACAGTGCCTGCAATGACCACCGGGTGTCCAGCTCCTCGTGGACCAGCACGAAGCCTTCCCGGGCCCCTCCCAAACTCCACCCCACTCTCACCCCTGAGAAAGGGGCCTTCACGGGGGGCAGCGTACTGTCTCTTTAAATAAACCGGCTTCCATCCTCACACTGTCTCTGCACGGATTCTCCCCACGCCCCGCCCAGCGCCCTCGCTTGCCTCTCCCCTGCCCTCTGAGTGGCGTCTCCCCGAATTCTCTGGCACAGGTGGCGCAGCCGTGCACAGCACAGGGCTTCTGCGAGCTCACGGGAACGCGCATCGTGAGGAAGCTGGGCCCGGACTTCCACGCGTGGCCCCCAGACAAGCTTGCGCTCTAACTCCACTTCCCCGTGAACTTGCTCACGTCCCGTGGTAGCAGCAGCCGCTGGGGGGCTGTCTCCATTGCCTGTGTCCTGTCCCCAGGCTGTGGCCACACCCCTGCCCCTCTGCACGGCCCGAGAGCTCCTGCCAGCGCTGCCACCAGCCTGGGCTCCTGTGACCTTCCTGGCTGGATCCCTGGGCGTCTGTGTCCTCTCTCGCGACCTCTGCGGCTCCTCAGGCTGCTGCCCCGGGCACACCTGGCCTCCCTGGACATGCGCAGCCCACGCCTGCTGTCAGCCCCCTGGCTGTGTGGCTGACAACACCCCGGGCCCAGCCTGCTTCACAGACTCCAACCAATGTGGGCAGCTCCTGAGGTCCGCTTCGGAATCCCCGCCCCGGCCAGCCCTCTGTTCCCCAGGTCCGTGCACTGCCCCCGAGCCCACCTTGACAGCACCGTAGACGTGACTCCTCCACGGCAGCAGGGAGGGGCCGGGGCCCCAGGCCCTAGGCCTGCCTCCGGGCCAGCCTTGCGTCTGAGTGACCCGGCCTCGGGAACCAGGTGTGGGGAGGGCAGCAACCCCAGCTCCCCAGCCGCTGCCCCCCAGTGTGCACCCCTGCCCCAGGGGCCCGGATCCACTGCAGCCTGCTGCCGGCCAACACGTCCACGCCTGGCCCCCCACCAACCTGCAGAGGGGGTGGAGACGGGAGACCCCGGGCTGGCCTTCGCTGTCACCGCGTCCTGCAGGTCTGCACCCATCCTCTCCAGCCCCCAGTGACCGGGACCCAGCCCAACGGACTGCAGCAGAGGCCAGGTGTGCAGGCCGAGGGGCTGCCCACAGGAGGCGCTGTGCCCTCTACAAGCCAGGGCAGCTTCGGAGAGCTGTGGCGGCCATCAGGAGACAGGTGTGGCAGAGAGCGGGGCTCTGCAGGACCCTCGGGCTGCTTCCCCAGCCCAGGCCACCCTCGTCCACGCGCCACCAGGTGGGCAAGGGCGGGCAGCCCAGGATCCAGGATCCCCACCTCCCGGGTCATCTGCGGCTCCGCCTCCTGTGACAGACAGGTGACAGTGAAGTACAGGGTACCCCACCCCCGCCGGGCGCCTGCCCAGGGCTGGCCGGCCCCGTGGCAGGTGGAACCTTCTGTGCCCGGCTGCCCTGCTCAGCTGCAGCTGCTGTAGCGCAGGCTGGACGGCTCAGCCCGCAGGAAGCGACGTCTCACTGCTTAGGGCCCTGGCTGCCCGGGCCGAGGCCCCCTCTGAGGACCAGCTCTCCCTGGACACCTGCTGGCCCCGAGAGGCCCCACCCCGTCGCCCCAGGGCATCTCAGCCTCTCCGGGAGGTCGGTGCCCAGAAAGAGCAGGGCTTTGCTTCTTTGCAAAGACTCTCACGCGCACGCCGAGCACGAGTGTGTGTGTGTGTGTGTGCGTGTGTGCGCGTGTCTCTTCTCCACGGAACTCAGCAGGCGGCGGCGGCGGCCTTGGTGCCATGGCCGGCAGCTCCCCTGGGGCTCCGCAGCCACGGAGCACAGGCCCTCTGTGTGCACCTGGAGCAGGCAAGCCTCAGCTCCAGGCAGGGCTGGGAACGGGGCGGGGCCCCCCCATGAAGCAGACCAGGCCCGGATGCCGGGCGGGCGTCAGGAAGGGGCCCAACCACCCCGACCTGCTCGGGGCTGGGGGCCCTGACCGCAGAGGCCGGGAGAACCCCGTGCCGGCCTGGGAGTGGGCGGCGGCCACCTGGGTGAGGCAGGCCCACCACAGCCGGACGCCCGGGCTGCTTCAGGCGCTTGGGCCACCCCGGAGCTGGAATGAGGCCTTGTGGTCCCACTCAAGGCAGGTGATGGCGACGAGAGCCCCGTTCAAGTTGGCGAGTGACAGGCATGGGGGGGTGTCCGGGAGCAGGTGCCCCCGTGCCAGGACCAGCCCCAGCTGCCCTCCCCAGGCCCATCTCACCTCCACACGGGAGTGACCCCCTCACTTCTTGCATCGTCACTGCCCTGCACTGGGGACAACAGGCCAGAGGCCCCACTGAGGAGAGAGGCGGGGAGCCGAGGCCACAGCAGGGCACGTGGGCAGGGCCGGGCTGCACCGAGGCTGGCAGTGGTCATGACCACAGCGCCCGACCCCGGGCAGCAGCTGCGGAGGAGCCGGCCTCCCAGGCCCAGCCGCCCCGCGGGCAGTTGGCTCCAAGGAAGCACCCGAGAACCCAGCCCTGGTTAGGGGGAGTCCTGGAAGCAGATGGCACGGCCCATCACCTGCCTGCCCAGTCCACGCGACGCCGGCCGAGACCCCCACCCAGGTGTTTGTCAGGTGCAGAGCGGCACCAGGGCCCGAGGGGGGTGGGCGGGCCCTGGTCTGTCCTGTGCCGCTGGACCTCCAGGAGCACCTGTGGCCACTCTGCTGCCTCTGGGGGGGCTGTGGCCTCCGGGCCTGGGCCGGGTGCCGCAGGGCGGGTACGGTTTGTGAGCTCGGGCCTCTCAGTGGTTGGTGCAGCTAAGGCCGTGGCGGCGAGGGGCAAGGAGGTGGGGCTGGCGCAGGCTGAGGCCACGGGGGGGGGGGGGTCTTCTTGAGAGCGCACCCCTCACTGGAGTGCATGTCCAGCCCAGGTTCTCTCTGTTCAGGGGTCACCATGTGACGATGGCTTCTCCACGCCCACAGCAGACGCCGGCCGCTGGGACCACCCAAGCCTGAACCATCGCCTCCAAGGGGGGAACCGACACAGACCCCAGAGGCTGCTCTGGGGCGTCCTAGGGTAACAGAGGAGACCAACACAGCACGGCCCCCAGGAGGGGTCATGAGCAGGGGGACAGCCCCTCAGCCCTCCCCCCACCTCGCCCTTCTGCCCCCATGGGACACACGCAGTGCTGGGGATGGCGGCTGCCCCAGGATGAGGAGCCACAGGCATGCCGTCCGCGCCCCCACCTCTGCCTGCACCGTCCCCGACAGGAATGGGGGAGCCTGCTGCAGCTCACGGCTGGACACCGAACAGGGCCCAACAGGCTCTGCGGGGGAAGATTTGAGGACCATGGCAGGCAGGTGCCCGGAGCCCACGGACACCACCCTGCCTGGCTGCAGCAGGGGCGGGGCCCAGGGGCGCCCACCCTGGGTTGGGGAAGCTGCACTCCGCGGCCTAGCCATCCCTCCAGACCCCCGCCTCACCTGTCCCCGGATTCCAGCCCTGCAGGCGCCCCCAAGAGGCAAAGTCCAACCAGCTCACAAGACAGGGGGCCACGGACACCCCAGCTCCTTAGACCTGCCAGGGAGACAGAGGCCAGTTCCTGCCCCACACTGCCGGGGACAGCAGGGTCGCGGCCAGCTCGGCCAGCGAGAGGCAGGAGCAGAGGCCCATGTCAGACAGGAGCCCAGCCAGTCCCGGCAAAATCGTTTATTCCCGGCCACAACACGGCCGTGAGGGCTGCAGAGTGCATGGGACAAACCATCGCAGGGGACCTGGGAGGGTGGCTGGGGCACGGCCGCCGCCCCCGCAGCCCACAAACGCCGCCCACGCCGCGTCCCCTCCCCTGCGCCCCACTGTCCGCGCAGTCTCGGCAGTCCCGGCGCGGCCAGCACCCTGTGTCGGGAGGCGGGGCACGGGGGAGCCGCCGCACGCCGCTCCCAGTCCCCGTGGCACACACGGCGACGCTGCGGTGACGACCCCAAGGCCTCGGCGGCCAGGGCGCCATCCAAGTTCTCGCGGAAGGAGCTTCTCACGCACCCCGCCCTCCCGTCACGGTCACCCAGGGCGAGGCCAGGCCCAGCTCCCAGGCCAACGTGGACAGGGGGTCACATGTCCTCCCGCAACATGCCCACAGCTGACTCAGTGGGAGCCGGGGACCGTGGTCCTGGGGGCTGAACAGTGCACGCTGAGCGCGTATGACCCAGCCTGGCCCGGCCACGCCAGGCCCACGTGGCCACAGGAAGGGTGAGAGCGAGGGCCGGCAGCAGGGCGCGCTCCAGTGCAGCTGTCTCGGCAACACGGCTCGTACGGGGACATCAGCCAGGACCCCGCCCAGCCCTTGGCACCTGCCCTGGGAGTGGCCGCCAGTGTCCCGGGCCCTCCCAGACAGCCTGCCTGGGGGTGCGAGGGCCACACCACGGGTCCGAGAGCTCTCCTCCCGCACGGAACTCCCGTCCGCAGCACGAGGCCCGGGGGCTCCCGCCAGGCCCGCCTCAGGCACCACGCGTGGCCACGCGATGTGACGCGTGCTGCCGGGGACGCTGGCCGGCCGCTCTGAGCGACAGGGACCGAGTGCTAGGGCGCCCTGACCTCAGTCCTCCTGGGCAGCGGGCGACGGCGAGCAGGCGCCCGGGCGCTCCTGCAGGGCCTCCACCTTAACCGCGGCTCTGGGCGCGCCGGGGCACCGCCGCAGCTGCCGCTGCCTCCGGAACACCGAGTGCAGTGCACACAGCTGCCCCAGCTCCTGCGCCGTGAAGCAGGGCTGGCCCTCGGCGAAGCCCAGCAGCGCGGCGAAGGCCAGGGCCGCGCGCTCCCAGGCCGCCTCGTCGTCGCCCACTCGCTCTGCGTTCTCCGCGCCTGCAGGGACGCGCGCCTCCACCGCCTCCCTCTCGGCCGTGCCCCACTCCTGGGCCTCCCTCCCCTGCAGTGGGCCGTCGGGGCAGGCCGGGCCGGCTCTCACGAGCTCCAGGATGTGCGCCAAAGTCTTGTGCGGCTTGGCCGCGCAGAAGTGCCGGTCCGCCCCCTCCCGCTCGGGCTCGGCCTCCGCCTCCACCTCCCCCTCCGGCTCTGCCTCCTCTTCCTCCTCCTCCTCCTCGGAAGAGCCTTCGGCAAAGGCCACGGCGGGCCACAGCTTCCTCCAGGCGCGCCGGAACACCTGGCCCGGCACGGCGTTCCAGGCGCAGACCACGTGGCCCATGGCATCGCCCGCGCCGGGCCCGGGGCGCGCGGGGGCGCGCAGGCAGCGCTCCAGGAAGTCCCTGCGGATGCCCAGCTCCATGGGCTGCAGCAGCGCGGCCGCGCCGGGCGGCAGGAAGACGGTGAAGATGTTGTCGGACACCAGCTGGGGTTCCTGCGGGGGGGCCCGGGAGCTGTCCAGCAGGAGGACGGCCTTGCTGTCGGCCGGCAGGCCCGAGGCCCTGAAGTGTTCCCTCACGGCCGGCGCGAAGATGTGATGGAACCAGTCCACCCAGGCGCTGCTGTGGGCCCTGTAGGCCAGCGGCAGCTGCTGGACGCCCCGGCGGGCCCTGGCGCCGCCACACCTGCCAATGGCCAAGGGTTTGATCCGGTGCGAGCCCGTGGCGTTGGCGCACACGAGGACGCTCAGCCGGTCCCTGGCCTGCTTGGCCTCCGGGCCGGGGCTCGGCAGGCCGCGCCAGAAGAGGCCGGTCTCGTCGGCGCTGTACACCTGCTCGGGCGACAGCCCGTGCTCGGCCGCCAGGCTCCTGAAGAAGCCGCAGAACTGCTCGGCCGCGCGCCGGTCAGCCACCTGCTTCTCGCCAGACGCGTCCAGCTTCTTGATGCCGTGCCTGGCCTTGAAGCGCCAGAGCCAGCCCCCGGAGAACACGCAGGGCTCGCTGAGCCGCATCTGCCCGTACAGGTCCTTGGCCTTCTCGATGAGCATGGGGCCCGACACGGGCACGCCCTCGGCGCGCCGCGCCAGGAACCACTGGTAGAGCACGCGGTCCAGGTGCTCCAGCTTGGGCGTGTGCAGCGTGCGGCGATGCTCCAGCGCCTGGCTGGAGTCGGAGTTGGCCACGAAGCGCAGCAGCTGGGCCTTGTGGGCCTTGATGTCGTAGAGCGTGGACATGCCCACGTTGTACTCCTGCATCAGCGCCTTGCGGCTCTCGCCGCGCTCCAGGCGCGAGCAGACGTCCATCTTCTCCCGCAGCGTCAGCACCACGCGCTTCCGCTTCCCGCCCCGGCCCTCAACAGCAGCCTGCCTGGAGGCCATGGGGAGGGGCGCTGGCCGGGCCAGAGGCCGCCCCGGCCGGCCTGCTGCCTCCTTCCCTGCGCCCGGGGCCCCAGCTGCAGGGCGCTCAGGCCTTGGCCCTGGCGGTCCCGTGCGGCGCCGGCCCAGCCTGGGCTGCTGCGCGGGGCTGGACCCCCGGCATTCCCTGGCCAGGCTCCGGCGTCTCCGCGGTCCTCAGTGGCGGCTCACACCCTGCGCTCCGGCGGCTGCAAAAGCAGAAGAGAGAACATCACCGAGCGCCGGGCGGCTCCCGGGCTCACAGCTTCCTTCAGGCCCCGGCAGCCACCCTGGAAATCAGAGCCAGGCCCAGGACGGCGCCGCGGGGCGAGGCTGGGGCCCGGCCTTTCCTGGGGGAAACTCCTGGAGCTGGGAGCCAGGCAAGGCAGGCCCAGAAGCCCAGTCGCCCCCAGCCCGCCTGTCCCCAGCTGTCGGCCGCAGCTGCTCCCTGGGCTGCCCGCGCCGGCCCCCAGCTCCAATCCTCTCCAGTACAGGGGGCACAGCGGTGCAGGGAACTCCCTCAGCCTCCCGGGGTCTGGGCCGAAGCCCCTCCAAGCCCAGGGGGAGCCTCTCCTGAAACCCCGTCAACAGGGAGGCACCGACAAGCCAGGGAAGCTCCCAGGACCCGCGGGCCTTGGACTCCCGCCAAGGTTTCTCCACACCGGCCCCCGCCCTCTCGGCAGACAGCGTGCCCCCACCCCAACCCTGAACATGCTGGTGTCTGGGACCCCCCCCCAGGGCCCTCCCGGCTCCCCGGGCTGCCCACCAACGCGGGCGCCTGCACGCACACACACACACACACACGCGCACACACACACGCGCACACACACTGCTCCCGGGTCGCAGGGAAGGGCCTGGCCACAGCAGGGGCTCAGTAACTCGATGCTAACTTAGGGTGCCCACGAATAAACTCCTAACTCAGCCAGGACCGCACCTCGGGCAGCAGGACCGCCTTCCGGGAGCGGCTGTGGATCCTGAAGTTTACCCCTAAGATAACCCAGGGCACGTGGCCAGGTAAACCCCAGCCCCACCCAGGTCTCCCCCTGAGGGCTCGCAGGGACGCGCCTTCCGGGACCCCACCCAGCTGGGCAGTGCCCCGGCCCTAGGGACTGGCCGGCTGCACACGCCCCCTCCCCCATGGCCCCTCAAGGCCCTCATGATGGAACCAAGTGGGGAACGGGGGCGTGGCTTCCAGTCCCGAGTTCGGCTCTCAGGATGGTCCGGGAAGCTGACCTCGCACCCCCGGGGTCACGGAGCCCCGGCCCCCAGCTCAGGCAGGGCCCCCAGCTCCACAGCCCGCTCCCTCCCATCACCCATGCAGGGCTTCCCTCTGGTTCCCGCCGACACCAGGCATTGGCTCACCGCGCCGGGGGCTCCAGGCCGCCCCAGGACCCCGCGGGCAGCACCAGCAGGCCCCCGGGTGCACATCTGGACACGGGTGCACCACGGGGCGTGGGCCGTGGGGCCGGGGGGCGACCCAATGGAGGGGTCCGGGTCGCGGAGGAGGCCGGCTTTGAAGGCGTCTCCGTCCCAGGGGCCGTGTTTGGGGGGCACAAACTCGGCCTGGGGCGTGGGCAAAACCCGACAAGGACCACGCAGGTCAAGCCTCGCTCCCACTCCTGGGGGGCCGGGGCGGGCGCGGACCAAGCCTCCCCGAGCCGGCGCCGTCAAGGCCCGGCGCGGCGGCGTGGGGCTGACCTCGAGCTTGGGCAGCCCCAGCGAAGGGCTTCGGGTGCACAAACCCAGGCCCGGGGTGCGGCCAGCCACGGCGGACAGGGGCCGGGGCTGCGGACCCGGCCGCGGCGGGAGGCGGGGGGCGCGGCCGCCGCGAGGGGGCGCTGCTCGGCCCGGCCCGGCCCGCGCCCCGCAAACCCCGAGAGCCGCTGCCCGCCCGCCCGCCCGCGCGCGCCTCGGGCAGGACCCCACTCACCCGCCGGACCCCCAGCCGCCACGGGCCGGAAGTGCCCGCCGCTGCGCTCTCCGCGCGTCGCCGCCTCCCCCGAGCCCCTTCCGGGACGCTCTGGGCGGCTGGAGGACCGCGCCTCGGTGGCGGCCCGGCGGGCGGGCGGCGCGGGCCGGGGCGTTCGGGGTGCGGGGCGCTCCGGGGTTTCCCGCCGCCGTGCCGGGCGCCCGCGCCTGACGCGTTCGAGGGGCGGCCCCAGGCCTCAGCCCGCGCCCGGCCACCCGCAACCCGGACCTTGCCCGTGACGAAACGGCCTCTCCGGGAAGCGGGCAGAGCCTGGCCTGGAAGGGGTCGCGCCCCTGAGACCCTCGCCCGCGCCGCCGGGCCTCCGAGCGGCTGCGATGCGGCCACTCCGCGGTCGCGCCCCTGGGGTCCCCCCGGGTCCCCAGCACCCCGCGGTCGCGCCCCTGGGGTCCCCCCGGGTCCCCCGCACCCCGGCCTGCTCTCTTCCCAATAAACACCTGGCGGGGAGACACTGCAGTGGCCAGGGTCCCTGAGGCCGGCGGGGGAGATCTGGGGGGGCTCTGATGAGGGCGGCGGCGGGGCGAGCCGGGCGCGCACACCGGGCAGCCTCGGGGAGCTGGAGGAGGCAGGGGGCCAGCGGGACCCCAGCCCTGCGGACCCCGGCGCTTTGGCTCTGACCTCTGACCTGTGCGGCGGCGGGGACTGTGGGTGGGGTTCAGCCCTCCAGGCGTGGGATTTGCAGCAGGGGGCTCAGCTCCTCATCCCGGTCTCCCCAGGACACCCCCACTCCCAGGCTCTCCTCCTTCCTGCCGGCCCTGGCTGGCTCCAGGCTGCCCAGCCTCTCCCCCGGAGACCGCCAGGATCTTGGCTTTGGGTCCCAAGTCTCCCAAGATGCCGGCCTCCGGTCAGGACCTCCCCCAGTCCAGCTCTGTCCCCCACCCAGCGTCTCTGCAGAGCGGAGCAGGCACCCCCACCCCAGCGCCCCCACGGGGAGCCCCCGCTGGCCGTGCCCGCCCCAGCGCCCCCACGGGGAGCCCCCGCTGGCTGTGCCCGGCCCAGCACCCTGCACTTGCTCTCGGCCTCGACTCCCTAGCTGCACGCTGCCATCAGCCAGGGGCGCTGGGTGGCTCTGCCCGCATCCTGCGTGGTTCAAGCTGCTGGTCGGGATGCGAGTTCAAGTCCCAGCGCTGACCATGATGCCAGATTCCTATTTATTTATTTACTCATTCATTCATTCATTTTCACTCCCCGGAGAGGTAAGCCCCCACCGCCCGTGTCCCTGCATGGGCCTGGGCTGCCGCCTCTGGACGAGGAACGGCCCACGCCGCGATTTGTGGTCAGGGAGGCTTGGAACTTGGAACTCGGGGTCCCAGGCTTGGAACCAGGTCCCCCCCACTAAGGGGCACGGGCGCCCTGGGACTGGGTCCACCCTGGCGTGGAGGGGCTCAGAAAGGAAGGGGAGGAAGCGCCGGTGTCTCCTGGGCCTGGCACTGGGGCCCCCTTCCACGGCCAGGCCTGAGCCACCCAGCAGCCGGCCTCCCAGCACACTCACAGCCAGAGTCGCCTCCAGTCAGGGCCCATCCCCTGCCCCAGGCGCAGCCGGGGTCCACTAGGCCGGCCGCAGGCCACACCGGAGCTGGCCTCACACTTCCTCTTCGGATCCCATGGCTGTCCCCACACGCCTGCTGTCCCCTCACTCAGGCTCCAGGAGGGCAACTCCTGCTGAGTTCCTCGTCACCAGGCGGGGCCTTGGCTCCCGGCAGGCTCCGGGCACGGCCTAGCCAGGGCTGTGCGGCCGACAGGGGTCTCCCAGGCTCGCTGACCTCCCTCCAGGAAGGAAGAGTGGGCGCAAGCAGGGGCTGTGGGGAGGCAGGGGTGGCCCTGAGAGGCACTGGAGGCAGAGGGGCTGGCAGTGGGGCTGGGGCTGCTCCGGTGGGGAGAGGGTTGGGGCAGGCCCACCCGTGGCCCCCTCGTGAGAACTGGGTGGAAGACCCTCCAGAGGGAAGCAGAGACTCCCAGGGGTCCCAGGAAGGGGGGCCGGGGCATTGCACGCAGCCAGCAGAAGTCTGGGACAGAAGCAGGCTGGGAGGGGCTCCGGCCACCTGTGATTACACACACATGTATGCACACTCACCCAGCATCCCGTTGGCCTCACGAGACACACACGTATGTACACCCATGCACACATACAGTTCACACACAGCTTGCAAGACATGGCCGAAACTTCCAAGACCCAAGGAGCCCGGCCCCCCAGCCCCCTGGCCCCCTCGTTCAAGCACTCGTGGCCCCCAGGCCCCCTTGTCAGAGCCCTCACGGCCCCCCGGACCCTGGCCCCCAGGCCCCCTCATCCGAGCCCTCGGGGCTGTGCTGTGGGCCTGCAGCTGATTCCCCTGTCTCCAAAGGGAAAGATTCTCAATGGTGTCAGCTGGTCTTTGCAATTAACATGCCATCTTTGGCTTTTATTTTTTAGTGATTTGCTTATTTTACTTGAAAGGCAGTTACAGAGAGAGGGAGAGACAGAGAGAGAGCTCTTCCATCCACCGGTTCACTCCCCAGATGGCCACAAATGGCCACAATGGCCATAGCTCCATCTGGGTCTCCCACGTGGGTACAGGGACCCAAGCACTAGGCCATCTTCCTCTGCTTTCCCAGGGCACAGCAGGGAACCGCACTGGAAGTGGAGCAGCCGGGTCTCGGACTGCCACTCAGGGGATGCTGGCATCAGGTGGCCGGTTAAGCTGCTGTGCCATAGAGCCAACCCCAGCCATTTTTATTTTTCAGAAAAGGTTGGGGCTGGTGCCATGGCATAGCGGGTAAAGCCACCGCCTGCAGCACCGCCATCCTATATGGGCGCTGGTTTGAGTCCCAGCTGCACTCCTGATTCTGCTCCCTGCTGTGGCCTGGGAGAGCAGCAGAAGATGACCAAGTCCTCGGGCCGCTGCACCCACGTGGGAGACCCGGAAGAAGCTCCTGGCTCCTGGCTTTGGATCTGCGAAGTTCCAGCCATTGGGGTCATCTGGGGAGTGAACCAGCGGATGAAAAACCTTTCTCTCTGTCTCTCTCTCTCTCTGTGTGTGTCTTTCGCTCTCTCTGTCTCTCTGTCTCTCTCTGCCTCTGCCTCTCTGTAGCTCTGCTTTTCAAATAAATAAATAAATCTAAAAAAAAAAAAAAAGCTAAGACACTGCCTGGGACGCCTGCGTTCTGGTCCCACCTCTCCGGCTTCGCTGGAGGCAGCGGCGATGGCCCAAGTGCTTGGGTCCCTGCCACCCACAGGGAGACCCAGGTGGAGTTTCTGGGTCCTGGCTCTGGGCCGGCCCAGCCCTGGCCGTTGTAGGCATCTGGGGAATGAATCAGCGGGTAGCAGATCTCTGCCTCTCTGCCTGTCAAAAAAGTGTGTAAGAATTAACCCTGTGTGCACTGAGACCCAGGAGTGTCCCACATTCCATGCAGAGGGCTGGCGGCCCCACAGGGGTCAGCGCGCTGCCCGGCCAGCCTGTGAACAGGCGGGCGCTCAGGGAACCCGACTGGTTTGGGCTGTGGCGTTGGGAGGGTGGGTGGAGGGCCGAGAGAACAGGAAAAGCAGGAGTTCTGGGAGGGGAGCTGCAGAGAGGGGAACAGTCACAGCCTTGCCACACCCCGCCCCGGCAAGGTCGTGCCCCAGAGAGCGGGACCTCAGGGGACCCAGGCTGGGTGCAGTGCCCACAGCAGCCCTTATGGAGGCAGGGGCCACCCCGGGACTAAGGCAGGGCTCCGGGGCGGGACCAGGGTCAGAGTCGAAACTGACCATAGTTGGGGCCCAGGTTAGAGGTCAACTGGTGCCCAGGGGTAGGGCCCAGTCACCTTGGACACTGGAACCCTGCTCATCAGGCAGTCCTGGCCCAGAGGCTCCCCCCAGCACCATGGGCGGACAGCGTGCACGGGGCTGCCCTGGGGGCCGTGGGCTGCTGGGCCGTCCCTGGCCTGTACCCCCTGGGTGCAGCAGGGACAACCCAAATGTCAGGGTGGGGACAGATCGGTCACGTCTGGGAACCAGGTCTGCAAACACACACACAACTACAAATATTTGAGGAATGAGTGTCCCAGGCGGGTGCTGGGTGCTGGGTGCCTTGACGCCAAGGCCGATAAGAATGGTCCCCGGCCAGGGGCAGTGGGAGTCTCCAGGCGGGGCTGGCCGAGGGGGTGCCGAGACCGGCAGGCAGCCACACACACCCAGAAGTCACCAGCTCCCCGGCCAGTGTGTGAGGCACTCCCAGGACCACAGGCTGGCGGGGGCACTGAGCAAGGGCAGCCCCGGGGTGGGGGCCACACGCCTTGGTGACCCTGGGCAAGTCCCTGCCCCTGTGTGCGCCCGGCTCCCACAGGCACAGGAGACACTTCCCAAGTACAAGAGCCCGGCCGGGGGCTGCTGGGGTCCCACAAGGGAGACTCTGGACGGCTCCAGGGCTGAGACCCCCGAGGTGGGGGAGGGGAGCCTGCCTCACACGGCCCCTCCCCTCGCTTGATTCCAGGTGGGAGGGCAGCCCCGCTGACATCTGCCGCTCCCAGCAGGTCCCCAGGGCCTGGCAGGATGAGACAACCAGGAAGGAGTGGGGAGGGGTGGGGCACGGGGCGCCCGCTCAGTGGTGGGGCCTGCTACCACCCGGCCCTGACCACTTGGCAGGCCGGCAGTGGCGTGGCCGTAGCCATAGCTTTTACCCATCAGCATGCAGCCGGAGCGATGCCATGCCCAGGGGGACACACGGGCCAGCAGGAACGGCGGGGCGAGGCTGAGAGGGACCCCAGGGACCGCAAATGGCCCCCGCGCCCATGGCCACAGGAAGCCACTGGCCCCCAGTGGGGAGGGAGGGAGGCTGGCCAGAGGCTGCCGGAGCAGACCTGGGCAGCCTGGGTGCTGGCACAGGAGATGAGTGGACCCCGGCCTGCCCCTCCTCCAGTCTCCCCGGACCCAGAGCTGGGTGGGGGCGGGCCTGGGGTGAGCAGAGCA